TTATTCAACCATACCTAACATTGCCTAACTTTCAATGCCTAACTTTGACATTGATTTTCAACAATAGCAACCTATTTTGATTTGAATTTCCAACACACCTCCTCAAATCAAAACGCCTTCATTCCTAGCATTTCACGCAGTAGCCGGAATGTTTCAATTGGCAATGGCTTTGTGAAGATGTCTGCCACTTGTTCCTTGGTGTGACAGTAGACAAGTTCAATTGTCTTTTGCTTCACATGGTCCCTTAGAAAATGGAACCTGGTATCAATGTGCTTGCTCCTTCCATGTTGAACAGGATTCTTTGCAAGTTTGATTGCAGACACGTTATCTACATGAATCACAGTCGATTCCACTTGTGGATGACACACTGACTTCAACAGATTTCTTAACCAAATTGCCTCACACACGGTTGAGGCTACAGCAACATACTCGGCTTCACATGATGACAAAGCAACAATTGATTGCTTCTTTGAAGTCCATGAGAAAGCTGTTGATCCTAGAAAAAACACATAGCCAGTTGTGCTTTTCCTTTCATCTTGGTCACCTCCCCAATCACTATCTGAATAACCAAATAATTTTGCATCTTCACCAAAATTATAAAATAGACCATAGTTTAGAGTACCTCTTATGTACCTCAAAATTCTCTTGGCGGCCAGCCAATGAGACTCCCTTGGTGTTTCCATGTATCGACTCACGAGTCCAACACCATAAACTATATCAGGTCTTGTGATTGTAAGGTACCTTAGGCTTCCAACGAGGCTTTTGTACACTGTTGAGTTTACAAACTCACCCTCTCCTCCTTTGGACAGCTTCAATCCAGTTGCGACTGGGGTATTGACAGTGTTGCACTTGTCCATATTGAACTTCTTCAATATGTCTCTCATGTACCTTTGTTGAGAGATGTGGATACCATCACTTTCTTGCTTCACTTCTATGCCAAGAAAGTATGACATTAATCCATTGTCAGTCATCTCGAATTCACTGAACATGGATTGCTTGAACTCATGGAACATTGCCTCATTGTTTCCTGTAAACAATAAATCATCTACATAGAGACAAATAATTAAGAACTCCCCTTTTTCACCATTCTTCATGTAAACTGAATGCTCGTATGGACATTTCTGAAATCCATTTTGGTGAAGGTAGTTGTCGATCCTTGAGTTCCAAGCTCGTGGTGCTTGCTTGAGGCCGTACAAAGCCTTCTTCAAACGATACACCTTATCTTCTTCTCCTTGTACTTGGAAGCCTTCCGGTTGTTCCACGTACACTTCTTCCTCAAGTACTCCATTAAGGAAGGCTGACTTGACATCTAGTTGATAAATTTTCCATTTATGATGTGCGGCAAGAGAGATTAGCAATCTTACCGTGTCAAGTCTCGCAACTGGAGCATAGACTTCATCATAGTCCACTCCATACTTCTGTTTGTAGCCCTTTGCTACAAGCCTTGATTTGTATCGATCCACACTCCCATCTGCAGTGCGTTTGATCTTGTAAACCCACTTGACACCAATAGCCTTCTGATTTGGTGGGAGCTTTGTCAGCTCCCAAGTGTCATTCTTCTCGATGGCATGGATCTCTTCTTCCATGGCTTTCTTCCAACAATCTTCTTCCACAGCTTCATTGAATGAGAAAGGCTCGTGGTCTGCATACAAGCAGAAAAGGTTGGTTTCTTCTTCTTCTTCTTGTCCATAAATCTCTGTGAGACTCCTTAACCTCACTGGAGTTGAGGAGCTGCTTTCCTCACTAGATGTAGGACCACTCCTTGCAATTCTGTGCACTGGAGTTGTTGTGATTGTTTGAGCAGGCTGTTGCTCAATCGGTGGTACAACTTCTGGTTCTTCAAAATCAGTGGAGACGATCTTCTCTTTACTGACTTCTTTGTTGTTCCACGTCCATGTCTCTTCCTCACTGAAGATGACATCTCTACTAACCACTAGTTTGCCAGTTAGTGGGTTGTAGAGCTTGTATGCCTTGGACTCTTCACTATAGCCCACAAACACACACTTCTCACCTCTATCATCAAGTTTCCTCCTCTTGGCTTCTGGAACTTGAGCATATGCAACACACCCAAAAATTCTTAGGTGTGTAACATTCGGCTTGTATCCACTCCAAGCCTCTTGTGGTGTCATCCTCTTGACACTCTTTGTTGGACATCGATTCAACAAATAAATCGAACAAGCTACAGCTTCTGCCCATAACTCTTTTGGCAAATTCTTCTCCTTAAGCATGGACCTTGTCATGTCAAGGATGGTTCGATTCTTTCTTTCGGCTATCCCATTTTGCTGTGGGGTATAGGCAGCAGTAAGTTGATGCCTAATTCCTTGCTCCTTGCAGTATGCTTGGAAAGCATTGGAGGTGTACTCTCCACCTCTATCTGATCTCACAGCCACAAGCTTGTGGTTACTTTCTGCCTCTGTGAGTGCCTTGAACTCCTTGAAAATTTTTAGGGCAGCTGACTTCTCCTTGAGAAAATAGACCCAAGTCTTTCTACTGAAATCATCAATGAAGGTAATAAAATACCTATTACCTCCATAAGACATGGGATCCAATGGACCACATATATCTGTGTGCACCAACTGCAGTGGTGCCTTTGCTCTCCATGTATCACCAACAGGGAACGATAGTCGTGTTTGCTTGCCAAGCACACAACCTTCACATACTTGGCGTGTGGCTTCAATCTGGGGTAGACCACGAACCATTCCTCCACTTGACAGCAACTTTAGGCCATTGAAATTAAGATGGCCAAATCGAAGATGCCATTTCCATGACTCATCTTCCATTACACCGATGTTGCAGCTTTCAATCTTTGTGTTCAAATTCAACGGAAACATCCGGTTCTTTGACATTCGAACACGTGCAATAAGCTTTCTCCTTGCATTCCTGAGAGTGAGAAGCATGTTCTCCATATGTATAATGTACCCTTTCTGGAGCAGTTGACCAATGCTCAGAATGTTGCTCTTCATACCTGGTATGTAGTAGGTATCGGAGATGTATTCTTCTCTTCCATCCTTCTGGATGATCTTGATCTTCCCTTTGCCTTCAACTGGCAACTTTGAGGAGTCACCAAGACTTACAGATCCATAGGCCCCTTTTTTGAGTTCGGCAAAAAACTCCTTCTTTCCACACATGTGATTACTTGCACCAGAGTCCAAATACCAAACATCTTGTTGGCTACTGGAATCATGGTGTGCTAGTAAGACTGTAAGTTCTTCATCTGTATTTCCACTTGATTCTGCCATGTTGACATGCTCACCATTTTTATGTGAACATTCATTGGCATAATGTCCATATTGCTTACAGTTGTGACACTGGATATGCGCCTTTCCTCGAGTAGATCTCCACTCCTGAGACTGACCTTGATTTTGTGCATAGCCTCGACCTCTTCCTCGGGCTCGTCCTCGGCTACGGTTGGATGAGCTCCCACGACGTGAGTTCCACTGCCCACGACCTTTATTTGGTTTGTCAATATTCAACTTTGACTCCAAAGCTTGCTCTAGCGTTGTGGGGCTTGCATTCTTCTGAATGCGTTGCTCGTGAACTAGGAGGGATCCTAGTAGCTCTTCTGCGCTCATCACCTCCAAATCCTTGGATTCCTCAATGGCAGTCACCACATGCTCAAACTTAGATGTGAGTGACCGGAGTATCTTCTCCACAACTCGTACTTCATCGAGTCTCTCGCCATTTCTCCTCATCTGATTTACTATCACAATGAGCCTTGAGTGATAGTCGGAGATGCTCTCCCCTTCATTCATATGAGCAGTTTCAAAATCTGCTCGAAGTGATTGTAACCTCACTTTCTTGACTCGATCTACTCCTTTGTAGATTGTACTGAGTGTATCCCATACTTGCTTGCTCGTTGTTGCTTCTGCAACCTTCTCGAACGTTGAATCTTCCAAACCCTGGTATAGAAGATACAGCGCCTTTTGGTCCTTCTTTCGTAAGTCCTTGAGAGTGTTTCTTTGATCCGCAGTATATACGGCTTCTTGCTCGGCAGTGGGTACAACATACCCACTACTGACAACTTCCCATAGCTCCTGTGATCCAAACAATGCTTTGAATTGGATGCACCATCTTTCATAATTTTCTTTCTTCAATGTGGGAACTTGGAGTTGCACTAAGTTGGACGCCATAACTGCTGCACCTGCCAGAATGGTATTCTGGCTCTGATACCAATTGTTGGTATTTGACAGTTTACTAACTCAATACCAAAATATGTGGGTGATAAGTTTACAAACTCTATCACACCTCTTTCACTTTGCACTCTCAAATAAAATTGGACAAAGAAAGAAATAGAGAAAGGAGGGAAGCAACAAGCTTTGGCTAAACACTTGGACTTTGATATATGAAAAGGTTTACAAACTATTGGAATAAGAAAGCTTACAAGCTTCTTCACAATTGGAAGTGGGATTAGGATGGGATGATTTACAATGCTTGAGAACTTGGGTATTTATAGCAAACCAAATGATTAAACTAAGATTATTTATTACCACACAAAACACATTAATTGCACCTAATAATTTTTATTCAACCATACCTAACATTGCCTAACTTTCAATGCCTAACTTTGACATTGATTTTCAACAATAGCAACCTATTTTGATTTGAATTTCCAACACATAGCAGCCCTGATCAGCAGCTGAGCCTCCTAATTTTTACATGTTAGGTTCTCTAATGCTCTCTTTCATTTGCTGCCTCAGCTGGAGAAAGAACTGCTCCACGCCAGCAGGATACAAAATTTCAGCAGCCATGTTTTCCGATCCGAAGAAGAGTTAAATTTCAAATTTTGAAACCCTAACTTGTTCTAAAAGCAACTAGTTCACTTCACAAAGGACAAATGACCCAAAAAAAGTGATGAAGGGCAGATATTTACGGATTTTTCCGAATCATTAACCAATAAACACAAATAAAAATACTCGAAACTTCTACTCTTATCAATAATTTCCTTAAAAATCTTACATTAAGATCAATTTCCTTAAAAGAACTTGATATTAAGGAATTGAAATCCAATTATCTGAATAAATGAAATCTCCAAAATCTAAATGGAACAACATCATGTTTTGGATAATTTGATCTTAATCTTCAGCTTCTTTGTTGCTCTTAATCCTTCTTCTTGCTTCTCCTCTTGTTCGAGCAGCAACCGCTCTCTTTCATCTTCCTCCCTAGCGATTTTTGCACTCTTCCTCTCTTCCTTCAGAATGTCATCAAAACTGGACACCATCGCACGATCATCTCCATCATCATCCTCATCATCCGCCCTAGGGCGCTTGCGGTTATGCCCAAATATCGCCTGGATCACAGAAGAAACATCAAGTGATTGCTCCTCCTTGACACGGTCTTTGACCTGATTCTTTGAGACGGATAGTTTCGGTTTTGGTATCGGTTTTGCTGTGCGTTTCAGCTCAACAGATTGCTCCATTTGCTTCAAGCGTTGCTTTGTTGTGATAAACCAACTATTCAAGATATCTCTCCACGTCCGAAATGCATGGTAAACGTCTCTCCAAGTCAACCACACAAGTTGGATACTCTTCAACCTCTTCAACAGATAGCAAGGAATCACACTTCTTCCTTATCTAAAACTCATGTGTAACTTAGTTTTGAATTTCAAATGTAATCAGATGATATGTAACCAACCTCATCTTGTAATCTCTATATAATGAAGTCCATACCTCACTCATAATTAATTGAGTTGAGTTTATACAATCTATGTTTACAATCCTAGCTTAAATTCTTTCATGGTATCTCTGAGCTAAAAGTCTAACGACAGATTATTTTTTTTCTCTTCTCACATGGCTTCTCCCATTCCCCTCCCAAATGTCTCCAACTTTCTCACGATCAAACTTGATCGTACCAACTACCCCCTCTGGCACGCCCAAATGCTACCTCTCCTCCGCAGTCGTAATCTTGTTTCCTTTGTCGACGGAACCAGTCTGTGTCCTCCAGCATACTTGAAAGATGATAATGGCAACATCACTGACAAAGTCAATCCCGACTTCGATACTTGGATCCAACAGGATGCCACTGTTATGTCCTGGATCAACTCTTCTGTTCACCTTACCGTACTTGCTGCTTTAATTGGGAAAACTAGCTCCCATTCTGCATGGACAACCCTACGTGATCGATATGCTTCTCAGTCAACCGGTCGCCTTCTCCAACTCCGCAGTGAGTTGATGAATACTCACAGAGGTGATTCTTCCATCTCTGAATTCTTGGATAAAGTTAATTGTCTCGCAGATACTCTCTCTCTCTCTGGTGCTCCTGTTTCAGACTCCGATGTTGTTGCCATCATTCTCAACAACGTAGGCCCTGCCTATGAAAGCACCGTTGCCTCCGCCCAAGCTCGTGATGAGGCCATTACCTACAGTGCTTTGGAAGCACTTCTCCTTGGCGCTGAAAGACGACAGAAAATGCATACTGCATTTGGTACTGACAACGGCCTCACTGCCCTTGTAGCAGGCCGCAATGGCAACCGTGCACCTGCATCTTTTCGGGGTCGAGGCTCCTCTACTGGGTTTCGCGGTCGTAGTCATTTTCCTAGTGGTCGTGGCTCTTCAAATCGCCACTGCAACTCTCCTCACTTTCACCAAGGATCTCCCTCTAATCAAGGATCCCACTCTCACCACGGGTCCAACCCTCACCCAGGCTCCCACTCTCGCCAAAATGATGGGATTCTCGGCCCAGCTCCTTCCCACAGTCCTTTCACTACTGGACGCATTCAATGTCAAATATGCAGTCGTCATGGCCATTCTGCGATCGACTGCTTCAACCGCCTAAACATGTCTTATGAGGGACGCGTTCCTGCACCTCGCTTGCAAGCGTTTGCTGCTACGGCACCTTCTGCCTCTGCCACAGCACCTGCCATACAGGAGTGGTTGTTTGACTCAGGGGCTAATGCTCACATCACAAATAATTCTGCCAGTCTTTCGAATACTCATCCTTATAATGGCATGGACCAAGTCAATGGAGTTGGTGGAACAGGTTTGCCAATTTCACACATAGGGACCACTTGCATTCGTACACCTCACTCCACCTTTAGCTTACCTAATACACTACTTTGTCCAAATGCATCCACCAATATTATTTCAATCCATCGCTTTACCAAAGAAAATAATTGCTCTCTAACCCTATATCCTAATTCGTATTCTGTTCAGGATCTTCACACGGGGAGGATGCTTTTACAAGGCCCGAGTAGAAATGGATTCTACCCCTTCTCTGGTGTTTCATCAACAAATAAAGGCGTGTCTGCATTTTTAGGTACTAGAGTGTCCAATTCAATTTGGCACTCTAGGTTAGGTCATCCATCTTCTCATATTTTACAAAGTTTGGTTTCTAGGAATAAATTGCCCATTAAAGGCGTTGTCACTAGTGAGTTCTGTCACTCATGTCCCATGGGTAAGAGTCACAAGTTACCTTTTCAATTGTCAACTTCTAGGTCTTTGTCTCCATTAGAATTGGTTCATTCCGATGTATGGACTTCACCTTCATTTTCTATAAATGGTTTTAAATATTATGTAGTATTCATTGATGATTATTCCCGCTACTCTTGGCTATATCCATTAAAATTAAAATCCGATGTTTTTTCTACTTTTGTGTCATTCAAGAAACTGGTTGAAAACTTGTTTAATACTAAACTAAAATCACTCCAAACCGATGGAGGAGGAGAGTACGTCAACAATACTTTTAAAACTTTTTTAACTCAACATGGAGTTTTCCATCGCTTTACATGTCCACATCATCCCGAACAAAACGGCATTTCTGAACGAAAACATCGTCATATAGTTGAAACTGGCCTCACCCTACTTGCTCATTCATCCTTACCTACTTCATTTTGGGATGATGCTTTTCATACAGCAACTTATTTGATCAATCGTTTACCAACTAGAGTTCTCCATGATGAGTCTCCTTTTCAAAAGTTGTTTCACAAACCTCCTAACTATGATTTTCTTAAAGTTTTTGGGTGTGCATGTTTTCCCTATATTCGTCCCTATAATACTAATAAGTTACAATTTCGTTCCAAACGTTGCATTTTCTTAGGATATTCATTAAATCAACATGGTTATAGGTGTTTAGATATGTCCACCAGTCGCATATTTTTGTCACGTCATGTCTTATTTGATGAAACCATTTTCCCCTACAAAGAATCCATTTCTACAAAGCCTTCCTCCTCCCCGTCATCTACAATACTGACCATTGATTCCCATCCTTTAATAAATCCCCCTAGGACTCCTAGCTCCACTACTTTCCCACCAAATCCGCATCCCACCTTACTTTCCACTCAACCTAACCCTTTTTCTCCTACTTTTCCCCAAAACCCGCACCATCCCACCTTACTTTCCACTCAACCTACCCCTATTCCACCTAATTTCCCACTACATCCGAACCCCACCATTCCTTCCACTCCATCATCAACACCACCACATATTACCTCTTCACCTATATTAAATAATCCTATTCCATCCCAATCACCCCTCTCACTTGTACACTCTATACCTGTCCTTTCCCCACCTCTATCCTCTACGAATGCAGTAGGTGTTGCTCCTGTCTCATCTTCCTCTCCACGCCACAGTCAACCTGTTCACTCCATGGTCACCCGTTCAAAGGATGGCATTCAAAAACCCAATCCCAAATATGCGCTTATTTCTGATGTGACTAATGACCTTGTTGAGCCTACTTGTTTTACACAGGCAAATAAGTTCCCTGAATGGCGTATGGCAATGGCAGAAGAGTTCAATGCTCTGCAACAAACAGGAACGTGGTCCCTGGTTCCTTTTCATTCCACAATGAATGTTCTCCCAAATAAATGGGTGTACCGTATTAAACGTAAATCTGACGGCTCCATTGAAAGGTTTAAAGCACGTCTTGTTGCCAATGGTTTTCGTCAACAGGAAGGACTTGATTACAGCGAGACGTTTAGTCCTGTCGTCACTCATGCAACCATCAGACTTATTCTCTCCGTGGCTCTTCATTTTAATTGGCAAATACGCCAGCTTGATGTCAAAAACGCATTCCTCCATGGTTCCTTAACTGAGGAAGTCTACATGCACCAACCTTCTGGCTTTGTCGATCCACAGTTTCCAGCACATGTATGTCGTCTTCGACGGTCCTTATACGGCTTAAAACAGGCTCCACGTGCTTGGTTTCAGTGTTTCTCTCAACATTTGGAAGAGCTCGGGTTTCATGCATCAATGGCAGATTCTTCACTGTTCATTTACTTCAATGGAACTACTGTTATTTATTTACTCATATACGTTGATGACATCCTTGTTACAGGTAATAATCCATCTCACATCTCCACCTTGATTCATCAATTGGGAAACAAATTTTCAATGAAGGACCTTGGGGCCTTGCATTATTTTTTGGGAATGGAAATTACGAGAACACCGACGGCCATGTATTTAACCCAGTCAAAATATATCCTGGACCTCCTCAAACGAACTAACATGGCTGACGCCAAACCATTGTCTACTCCAGCCCTCCCTGGCCGCAAACTTAGTTTGTATGAGGGTGAGCCCTTGGATGATGGTACAAATTTTCGCAGTGTTGTTGGGGCTCTCCAATATCTCTTATTCACACGGCCTGACATTGCTTTCGCTGTAAATCAAGTCTGTCAATATATGCATTCACCCACAACTACACATTGGGCTGCAGTCAAGCGCATTCTTCGCTATTTGAAAGCCACTCATAATCACGGTATCGTTTACAAACCCAGTTCGTTGTCCCTCACAGCCTTTGCCGATGCCGACTATGCTGGTGACCCCGATGATCGTCGCTCCACTGGTGGCCATTGCATTTTTCTAGGGGATAACTTGATCTCTTGGAGTTCTAAAAAACAAAGAGGTGTGTCTCGCTCAAGTACAGAGGCTGAGTATCGCCAAATGGCCTATACCTCTGCCACCTTGTCTTGGTTCCGCCACATATTCCGCGATCTTCATCTCCCTCTAAATCCACCACAATTGTGGTGTGACAATATCAGTGCCTTGGCAGTAGCTTCCAATCCAGTCTATCAGGCTCGTATGCGTCATGTGGAAGTTGATTATCATTATGTTAGAGAAAAAGTAATTCGCAAAGAACTAGTTGTGGGATATGGTTCTTCCGTTGACCAACTCGCGGATCTCTTAACCAAGGGTTTGTCCACAGCTCGTTTTAGTTATCTCATCTCCAAGCTTCCTGTTTGTCAACGTCCACTCAGCTTGCGGGGGCGTGATAAACCAACTATTCAAGATATCTCTCCACGTCCGAAATGCATGGTAAACGTCTCTCCAAGTCAGCCACACAAGTTGGATACTCTTCAACCTCTTCAACAGATAGCAAGGAATCACACTTCTTCCTTATCTAAAACTCATGTGTAACTTAGTTTTGAATTTCAAATGTAATCAGATGATATGTAACCAACCTCATCTTGTAATCTCTATATAATGAAGTCCATACCTCACTCATAATTAATTGAGTTGAGTTTATACAATCTATGTTTACAATCCTAGCTTAAATTCTTTCATGTTGAACAAGATTCTGACTTTGCCAAGGAGGCTTTGCCAATCACAGCCTCCGGACGCTCCTCCTTCACGTGATATTTGATTGGATGTTTCGAGACGGATTTCTTTTGTTTCGGCATTGGTTTTGTGCTGCATTGCTTTGTTGAAGAGGATTCAGATTTTGCCGAGGAGGTTTTGCTCTTGCCAACTTCTTCAGGCTCTCCTTTAGACGGCTTTGGAATTTCTGCACTGTCGGATTGCAAAAAGGAATAATCCCGGGACTCCTTGATGATTTTACACTTCAATGCCTTGCTCAAGGGGGCAGGACTCTTTGCGGTGCTTTTAGCCTTGTCACCGGAATTCAGAACCCTAGACGCCAACTTCTTCAACTCCGGCACAAAATCCTTCATCTCTTCGTGCACTCTCTTGGCCATGACACGCTCTGAGGGACCAAAAAAGGATCCGAAGTTTTCGGTAGTACTATTAACCGAGCAGCCTTGAGCAGCAGCAGAGCCTCCTGATTTCTTCATGCGAATGCGATCTTTCAGTTGCTGCCTGAGTTGAAGGAAGTCGAATTGCCCCGTCTTGGCAGGACGCGTAACTAGAGCAGCCATCTCTTCCGATTCCAAAGTCGTAGAATTCTAACTTGGAAACCCTAACTTGCTTTCTAAGCAACTACTACTTGACAGAGTGATCGAATGCGGAAAGCGAATGAACTGGAAATTGTAGCTTGTAATGTAATTAATGGAAGGGAAAAGTCTCTATTTATAGTTGAGGTTTGGGATTGGCGGTGCTTTCATTTTACGGCGGTTTAGGATTTTTTCCTAATCCCAATAGGATTGGGAAACTGATGTCCTAAGAAACAGGAGAGTACGTAAACAGAGACATCTTATTTGTTTATTTTTCTTAAATTCAATTTATTTTTAAGGTTTTTTTAGCCAAGATGATTCCTGAGAATGACATAATTCTTCACTTTAGTTTTTAAGATTTGAGATCATTAGAAGTGGTCTCTGAGTTTGTCGACTGTCAATCATTTTAATCCTTGTGTAATAAATCTTCGTTAAATAAGGATCAAATGACATAAATTGACGATTTTTTTTTTTTTTTTGTCATTTTGGTCCTTATTTTACGAAAATTTTTCATTGAGGGCAGACATACTTAGGGACAAAAATAAAGAGTTATGCCCATCTCAAAAACCATTTTGACCAAAAAATGTTTTTTAATGGAATAGACAATATTTTTACTCGGTTAAAATATATTTGGATAAGTGGTGAAGCCCTCGTGATTAGGGCATTGCGTTCCAATTTCAAACCCTCCTTCTCTCTTAATGTAAAATATTATTTGTCCTAACAAAAATTGAGTACGAAATGGTCTTTTTCTTTTTCTTTTACAAATTTAGTAAATTAACAAAAGTAGGTCATGACACTTTTTCTATTAGTCCACAAGTCTGTTAAAATAAAATAAATAATAATTTTAACAAAGAAATAAAAAGTAATATTTTGGACTTCTGTATGCTACTATATGAGTACATTTTGTCAAAATATCATACATCTCAAGAATTAGGATTACAATACACTTTCAGAAGGGAATGGTATCTATTAAGGGCAAACTGAATATGGAGACTGCTACATGTTGAATGTGGTGACTCGGTAAAGTTTCCGAAAAAAAACTCAAATTACAGAAGACTGAAGACATGGCCGGCTGCAGAACTCAAATCACGAAAAACGCACCTGGCTCTCATCTAGGTTTAGTTAGCATTGGTTATCGATTTTGGTATGAGTTTGCGTTTGTGCTTCAAGAGCATGGTCCTCAAAATCTTGAACTCTGGAAACAATGTTTTCTCCTTGTGAACTCTGTCCGGTAACCAAGAGAAGAAAAATCTCAGATACTATTAATTTGTGAAACTTCAGAACTTTGAGCAGAGAAATAGCGGCAAGTTGAACCATACTAACCTCAACCTTGCTTCAAGAATCATTAACTCTGAGCTGCTTGAGAGAATCTGGACCAATAAGGAATATACGTTGTGGGATATGGTACCGGAAAACAACTATTCCTTTATATGCTGTCCGTGGCACACCATCCTGAAAAACGAAGGAAACACAAACAAACAACTCCAGATTAATAATTTAACAACTGGGTTTAAAGCCAGGCACTTAGAGCATCTTATTTCCAGAGCTACTTGCATACTTAATGGACGACAGGACTTATCGCATCGAAGATTCTGCAGTCTCATAAAATCAAATGCGTTATTCCTAATGTCAATGATAATTGGAGGAAAGTTGTACAATAAAAAAGAAAATTCACCTTCCATTCTTCGAAAATACCGAACTGGCCAGCAATGTATTCGAAGTCTGGCTGGTCATTGTACTGTATGCGAACATCACTACCAATGTTGCGTGCCTTTAGTACAAGATCAGATCCACGAATAGGTTTAGCTTTTTGCACAATGTCAGCAAAGTGCTTTATATACTTGTCCTGCAAACGGGTTGAAAAATGTATTGATTATACATGAAAAGAAAGAGCATTCTGACCAAAGTATTAAAGCATCCATTACCTCCATCAGGTAGCTCAAATTCATTGATTTCCAGTCAACCTTAGAAGCAAAAGGTAGAAAAGAGTAATTCAATATGAAAATGTTGAATAACGATAAGTACAAACTTAGATTAGATGGAATGATACAGAAGAGAGATTAGTAATTACCAGGACATCATTTAGCTTGATTGGCTCAAGATATTGTTTGAAAAACTGTCCCAGACTAGAACCCTGCATAAAATTACAAGACATGAGAATTGAAGCATGACAAATTTCACAATCCTACAAGGGAGGGGGAAGAGACTAGCACTATTACATTCTCAAGCCATTGCGCTTGACATTTGACAATCACTTAGATTAAGTTAATCAGAATGCAAAACAACTATATAGGGATTACTTAAAAGAAATTATACGGCAATATAAAGATGGGAGGAGAAACAAAGAACCACTTTAACTCAGAACTTTATTAAAATCGTTCCTCTAACACTGTTTGCATTTTCAAGAAACAAAGGACCACTTTAAGATAACTCAGAATTTTATGAAATTTATTCTCCTGACAATGTTTGCAGTTTCAAGGAACAAAGAACCACTTTAAGATAAGATTTCCTGACTTCCGGGAGATATATTAAATAAAATCAGTGCAGAAATCAATACACTAAATCACTGAATTTATACAAAAATAAATACATGACTGCATGCACTATATAACGCTTGAGGTTGGGAAGCAATGAACAAGAAAAAGTAAGAATACATACGTGTTCTCCAAAATTATATGTTCTGCACACTTCTGGCCGTATAAATTGTCGACCCTTATGATTTTCTTTTAACCTCAACCAGTCATCCCAGTAAGTGAAGCATTGTGAAAGAAAACATTTAGAGGATATGGATCTAAATTCTAAAAGCATAGAGAAGTGTAAATCAACATAAAACTATTTCAGCAACAAGGATATGCCTTTGGCCATTTTGGTGATAGCTCATCCCATGTAGATCTAGCCAGCATCCACCCGAGTCCAGGAAAGAAATCCGATCTATAAAGTATTTCTGCACAGTGAATCAGATAGCAGATCAGAAAGCATAGTGGCTCTGAGTTTCTATTTCTGATAGCTGTCAATGTCTTGTGCCCAAACATCGGCAGAAAATACTGAGGATGCATGCACTTGTTGGTAAGATGATAGTAATGTAATGTGTTAACTGATAAGGTTAGATAATGTAGCAGAAGACCAAGATGCAAAGATCATTGTCAATCCTTAAAAATAGGAGCAATATGTTACAAACCTACATGAGCCAGGAACCTGAACAACCGTGCTTAAATAAGCATTGGTTCTCCCACAAAAACAAAAACATTTTCTCTATCCAGTCACGAAGGACAACAAAAAGGAGGTGTCGGATAGTGATCTTATTATTAAATTAATGTAATTGGTCTTGAAAAAATAAATATTGCATTATGCTTGATTCCAATCTTAGGAAGACTAACTTGAAAAATTAACAAGAACTCACTAGGATCATGCACAAACTGCTTTTGCCCATTGTCATTCCACGAGGAAACAGCCATGATAGACCTACCACAGTTCAATATACAAAATAAAAAAAAGTGAGGAAAAGTCAGAATTTCTGGAGTCCAGAACATTTATATAATATGTATTCAAATCATAAGACCTCAGATTCATCTAGAAGACATACTTATCCTTGTCAAGAAGAGCTGCTGCAGCCTCAAAATAATCGAAAAAATCGGGAGCAATTTCCATATCATCTGTGTTCAAGGATGATGGATTGTTTCATACTTATAGTGGAAATAAAATGAAATAAAATAAAATAAAAAGATCCAAAATATATTCTGTTTTAACCTTCAAGTATGATTACGCGGTTGAAGTTATGCTTGTAGAACAATCCATCCAGTGCCCATTTGTAATGACCTAAAAAAGCGGGATATAATAGTGAGATGTAGTAGTGAAGCTAATATAACTGAAGCAGCAAAGAATCCTTACGTGCAATTTTGTAGTATGCAATCAACTCCCCAGGTCTTTCAGCATGAACTGGTTCATAATCCAAATGCTGCAATTCATTCAAGTCAGAGTTGATAGCTATCCTGGTGTGCTTCCAACATCAAGGATACACAGTTTGATTATAAATGTACAACTTACTTGCATATAGGTAAGCTGATCGTAGCTCAAAGCCTTTTGTTTGACAGCTGGATGCGATCCGTCCTAAAAAAAATGAACCCTGTTGAGCCATTGATTCTCTCCTAGATAAAATCTAAAAAATAACAATGACATCCATAATGTTTTACCATATATTAAACACATGATACCTGGGAGACAAATAGAGGAAATTTTGATGCAACGGAACTCTGATATCTGGATATTAGAATAATTAGGCCAGTGAGTCAGTACAAATCTAAAAACTGTGATGTGCGGTGTAAGTACGAAACTTACTTTTTATGTGACAAGAACAAGGAACTTACTTTAAAACAGACTTAACAGTCCTTTCCAGATAATCAGCACGATTGCATGCCATAATTACAACTGCTGCCACTGGCACCTGGTTTTTGTCAATCAGCCGACCTAGGCCTTTTCCTGAAAAAAAAAAAAAGGGTGACAAAAGAATAATTCTAAGTGTTGACGATATAGAACAAGAATACAGAAAGTTATAGTAGCAAGCTTAAAGAACAAGAAAGCTATGGAGGTAGAGAGAAAACAAAGGAAAAATGTAATCTTGTATTGTATGAATGAAATGCTTCGCACCAATTATTACAGAGAATAGCAGCTTATATAGCTGCTGTGTCTTTCCTTACAAGCTGAGCTTTTATCTTAACCGCATAACCATATATCTCAACAGACTAAAGCTGAGTTGGCATTTTGTCTCTGTAAGTGATAGTCAACACTAAGTTCTTTGGAATGTATTATGGCCAAAAAATAAGTATCTGCAATTTGCCGAACAGCTCAATCATACTGAAACGAGAAAGGGGATTTCAATCTAAAAGTTTAATTAATATAATTAGTTAAATTGGTTGCAGAACAAAACACATGGGCTTGAAATGGTTCATCATCTATAGTTATATGAAATCCACTTCAAATACATTCAAGTAGCCTAATTCTGGTTTACGGAAAGGATTTTATATTATTATATAGTATAAACCATGAATCACCGAAACCCATGCTTTTCTTCTTCTAACAGACTATTACTATATACATGGCCTGAAAGCACACAACATATCTTCCAAGACTAGAAAACAAGCAAATGGGGGTGCTTTTTCAGTTCACTCAAAAAAAAAAAAAAAAAAAAAAAAAAAAGATTTTGTCTAATAACCACCTACTTTCAAGTTCTTGAACTAGGACCTTCAGTTGTTCACACTCTTGCTCTAGCCGTTGCTTTTCTTCTACAATTGCAGCAGTCTAGTGTCAGAATTTAAAAAAAAAAGGAATAAAAGAAG